GAAGGTTTTATCTGACAGCCACTCGATGGGCTGTGTGACTTGTGTGACTCTTCCCAATGGATTTTCTAGCATTCAGACAGGCAAGTATGAAATGGGAAAGCCTGGATGCAGACGCGGAGCGAGCGCCGATGTCGGAGACAGCGGTCCATGTTGAGAGGAAATTGCTAACACATCCAGGACTGGTTCCAGTTCTGCTCTGTCCTACTGTGAGAATGGGAATGAGTCATTTCCGTGTGCTACTTCTGAGATTACCCACCCCGAGACAGAGAGGATGTCACCTCCTCACCTCTCCAGGTGTCCCTTTCGGAGCCACCAGTGTCAGGCAATGGGGAGGGAGGTCTAGTAAGGCACTTCCTGCCCTGGATTTCTTCACTTGTGAGCACAAGAGCTTGGTTTCAGTGTCTGTCACCAACCAGTAAGTGGGAACGTCTTCTCTGTCCTGTATTTTGGTTTTTTTTACCCAGTATCCTCAGCAGTTGGAGAAAAACAACTACAGAGCTATTGAAGGGGAAAATCTCTTTTGGAGCACAAGAGCTTGGTTTCAGTGTCAGTCACCCACCAGTAAGTGGAAACATCTTCTCTATCCTTTATTTTGTTTTTTTTTTACCATTGCCCAGTATCCTCAGCAGTTGGAGACAAAACAAGTACAGAGCTATTGAAGGGGAAAATCTCTTTTTAGGACACTTTAATGACAGTTTCCTTGGCTGTGTCACATTCACAGCAGAGTGTAACTGTTTGTTGTCAAAGACTACCCATTTAGGGGAAAAATATCTTGGTGTATTCCTGGGTGTGTCTCACTGTCACCTCTTTGGAGCTGATTCTGCACCAAGGGCAGAGGGAGCTGTGCGGGCAACTGGGACTCAGGGCCTTGAATCCTGCAGCAATGTTTGATTGGGACTGCATCCCTGTGTTTTGGAACTAAAGATCAGCTATCCAGTTACACTTTCAAATACCACAAGACTTATCAGCATCTCTAGGAGCAAAAATAACACTGTCCCAGCCCTCAGGGCAACGAAGATGAGATGGAAGGTCAGTTTTAGGTGAGCTGTCAGGAGCAGCACTCAGTGATACAGCAACAAGATGGGTGTCTTCTTGGTTAAAAGCTAACAAGACAGCTTCTGATTTTGTTAAAATCCTTTTGTTAAAATGCAGGCTATTCAGTGGAGTTAGTGCCACACAGTCTACCTGTGATGAGTCATTAATCAATGGCTCCAAATACCTTTTATCCTGTTTCTCCATTCTTGCATCCCTTCCAGCCTCCTTTTCCAAGAGTTTCCTCAGCCAGTTTCGGGATGGGAATGGCTGGTGAATAGTGGTGTCATTCCTCAGAAAAGAGAGAAGAATAAGCAATGGAATGTATCCTTGAATTTCTACCATTACAGGAACAATCAGGCAATGAAATGATAAAGCAAGGATAATTCTTTTGGGCATCCTTGAAACACTCAATGATACATTTAATTTAGAACCATTAGAGTGCCATTACATGCTAAATACTTTCTGGTGCCTAAAAGCACAGAGTATTGTGCATTAAGACTTAACAATCATCTTATGCAATAGGTAATTATCTTCCCAGTATTTTGATTTTTAATCTCATATTGCTTCCCATAATGCCATATCTTTCGTTGTCCCAATAATAACTGCCTGCTAGATTTAGAAAGAATTCTACATCTTGGGCATAAGTATTGCTAACCCGTGTTGCTAACCACCAGTAGGTTCATAAACTGTCAGAAACAAAAACTTAAACAGGCTGCACTGACCTCTAACTGTCAGCCTATGTATTATTTATCTCTCATGTGGTTATCGAAGCGCTGTATGTACATTGTCCACTTGTCCATGTGGAGACATAAGAAGCCTCTGGGGACCCTTGAGTGGATCTGCATCCACTGACTCACTTGGTACGATGGTGGTGGAGTTTTGGGCTGGTCTAAGTAGCAAAATGGAAGTGAAGAGGGTTTTGCCCAAGTCACCGCAGCCACCACAGTGATTTTACTGTCATTTTTTATTTCTTTTGCATCGTCTAACCGATTGTTAGCAACCCACTGAGATCTGACACCAAATAATTGTCTTCCTAGATAAACATACTTTCAGACATCCTTCTTTCATTGGTTTAAAATAGAGAACACATTTCCTGGTGTATGTATTGCTAAAAATAAGCAATCTAGGAGTAAATGAGGATGACTTAGAAATAGAGGAGCTTTTAGATTGCTGCTTTCTCAGGGAGCTGGTGGAGTCAAGGGACACAATCAAAACCTTGGGGAGGAGAATGCTCTTGTCCCAGTAACGTGCTGCTGCCCTTCAGGTCACGTTCACGCCAGAGCTGCGGGATCATTTAAAATTATCAGGATGTGAATCACAAGCACGTTGGATTATTTTATTAGGTGTGTCTTTGTGCGTGTCCTCTCCCTTGTGAAAACCACCGATGCTCAATTCTGTGATCGAATGTCCGCGCAGACACATTGGAGAGGAGCAAATGTAACGGTGCCGACGCAGAAGATATTATTTCAGCCCAAAGAAAATGTCCCGTCTTCATTCCTGCTGACAACCTAAACAATGCCAGGCTTGAAACATCAATGGTAGAGTGGTTAGCTGGAAAAGCCATGATGGAGAGTGGAAGTGAGCTAACTGCCTTCCCAGAACAAACAGCTCTTTGCATTTTACATAAGCAAATTGACAGGTTTCTAAAAATTTACTTCCAGATTTTGCTTTTTGAATAGAAAAAAACCCCCAATCAGTAGGAAGAAAGGAGACCTGACATCACTCCACACGGTGCAGCTTGCTCTTCTTCCCACTGTTACACCTCCCAAGCAGGAAACACACTTGGGATCTGCCCAAGAAACAGTTTTTCCAGCTATTTCTTGTCAGCCTGAGAAGTCTTAAGTATTGTAGCACTTTTCTCACTCCATGTCCAGGTTTTGTCCAAATCCTTGTTGCTCCCAATCATTTAATAATGTTATGAGGGTATTTAGCAAAAACTTGAGAAAATCAAGGTACATTTCATCTTTTATCAGGAATGTAAGAAAGCAGTTACAGTATGGAGGAGAGAAGGCAGTCTCATGTTGCTCTCATATTGATCCTCTTTTGCTGCCTTTTTATTTTAAATTAGAGTAATCAAAAATAGAGTTGGGAGGACTTTCAACAGGTCTTCCAGTCCACCTTTTGCCCAGGCAAAAGGCAAAATCAGCTTCACTTTTTCTGGCAGATATTTGTTTTATCACTATGAGCGTTTTTTAAGACCTGCCAGGATGGCAATTCCATTTGCACTCTAGACCACTTGTTCCATAAAATTAGAAATGGTTACCTAATGTCTAGTCTAGATTTAAGCCTATTGCCTTTCTGTGTATGCAGAAAGAATTTACTGCACGGAGGAGGACAGTGAGGGTCAAAGCAGGATGGCAGAGAAGGAAGCAGGGTCAGACTGTCCATCCCCTTAGACTTACTGATATCACAACAGGGACAAACTGATGTAAAAGGGACTTGGGGAAGGACTGAAGCTCCAGTTCCTCCAAACTTCCCTCCTTGGCCAGGCAGGAGGGGGAGTCGGGCACTGCCTTAGCACCCAGAGCCACAGCCCAGTGTGTCCCACTTCTCATCACAAAGCAGGATAACTTGTACTCAGCAGCAGGTTATGGGACAAGGAGCTTGCTAATGAAAATACAGAATATAAGCAGAGGATGATAGTGCAAGGGTCCAACACACCAAACTGTATTTTATATTCAGTTTCTTTCTCTTTGAAAGCAATTTCAAGTTACAAACAAGTGGGCAGAAGGTGGAGCTTGTTTGCATGTTTTTAATGCAACCATTTCTCCCAGAAAGCCAAGGAACTGAAGGTGATCTGTCTAATTTCAAGTAGGCTGGCTGTAGTTACCGTACATTGAAATACTCATCTCTTTCCACTAATTGCCATGTGGGACTTAGTCACAGAATGAAAGAGCCTTTTGTATTTGCTATCGTACATACCAGCTCTAAGACATCACTCCATTATATTTTTTTTTACTTCTCTGTCATTGGTACAGGTTAGTATTTTACTATGTTAGCAAGCATCAAAAAATCTTTACTTGAATGGTACAGAGAAAGGCATTCAAAACTGAAACTAGGATTCGGTTGAGCAGGCAAGTTACCGATTCTAACACATTTGTTGAAATAAAGCCCCTCTTCAGTAAGAGAGGAGAGTTAAGTCTCTCTTGTGATGTTATGAAATGGCGTTTCCCTCCTGCTTTATTAACAGCAAAGTATTACTAAAGGGCAGACTTCTTCATCGCCACCTGCAAAGATGGTAGGATTTTATCTGCTATTGGTCTGGTTTATTTGTAGGAGAGGTGATCTGAAACTTTTATTGCACACATGGATACCCTTTGGAGGTGGGAGTTTCAATTTATTTTGTTTCCACATTCCGTTAGAAGGTACTGGGCAACGTTTTCAAACATCTAAACACACATCTACATGTCTTTAGAGACCTAAATCCAAGTCAGCAGTGCCAGCATGTCTGAAAATAAAAACATACAACTGAAGGGAACATGTTGGAAAGCTCAGTCCGGTTCCTTAATGTGTAAGTTGATCAAACTCCATCTCAGAAAAAGTAAGGAAATACACTGATTGAGGAGCCTAGACATCCATGCCCGAGACAGTCAGCCAAAAGGCTCAAAAATATGACTTGAAACTCAGTAGTATGGGTACTGAGTTCTGAGGATAAGTATCAGATGCAGAAGAGAGCAGAGAGATCACAGGAGGGTGGGAAGAGAAAAAAAAAAGAGGACAAACTATGAGAAGGGCTAATGATGAGGAATGGAATGTTTCCAGTCTCTGTGTAACATGAGGGCTAATCTTGGAAACATGGGGACCAAATCCTTATGTAGTCAGTACTGCCACTCCTCTAAAGCCCAGAGAGTTAAGTCATAGGACATTTTGGCTCTATAATTGTGTTCAGAGCAATAACTATACACAAAAAGTAATTATTTAGGTCAACATTTATTTCTACATGCCACAAAAGAGAATCATCATTGGATAATCAGAAGAAAACAAATCCAGTATCAATGCAAAAATCTGGCTTTCTGTGGATAGTGCAGCCCTGTTTCCATGGGTAGAATTCTTTGTGAACAAGGATGTTTGGTCTCGCCATCGTCTGAAGAGACAGCACTTGGGTTGTAATGAACTTCAGCTATGGAAAAGAATTAGGGACAAATTCCTATGATTATAATTTGGTTTAATTTCTTTAGAAAGAAACCTGCCTGTGCACAACTCACTGATGTCTTTGGAGAAATAATAGAAATCAGTGTGTTTCCAAAAAAACAACCAGGAATGTTTGGTGCTTCGGTCAGAATTCCTATAAAAGCATCCCTTTTGTAGAATATGGGTCTGCAATGATTTCTTCATCTTGGGAGGCAAAACCTCCTGCTGGGATTCTTCTGGATTAAACAGGCTCACAGCAGGTCCTGTTCAATTTTCTGTAATTTCCAAGATTTTTGCTCTTTTGGGAATGCATGAGGTGGGGTGGGTCCCGTGAGAGTGACAGCCAGCTGACACGGAGTAGAACTTCTCTTGGGTACCTAAGGCTGAGCAGAAAGTTCCTGTCCTTTTGGAGAAGAGCCATACTGGGATCTTAAGGGCTTTTTTACTTAGTACAGCAAAAGCCATCTGTAGCACAGCCCATAACCCCCAAACTAGGTCTGACAGAGACAAAGCAGGGAAAGGTTTCCTATTTATTTCCATGGGTTGGGATTTGAGGGTCACCATAGGGAACGTATTGCTTTCTAGTCTATGTAGTGCCCACTGGTTTTCTTACCGATCCTAAAATTTGTATCCGGAGATGTCCTGGGAAGGAAATCTGAACCATTGAAAGTGGAACTTGTCCCAGTAGAATGTAGCCTCCACAAAGCCTGGGGCGGTGAGGAGCGGTTTGAACGCCTGGGTGTAGATCCAGCAGTTGCACCTGACCCACTCCACTCTGAAATCAGAGAGTGAAAGGCACAGGAATAAAATTTGCTACAGGTGCCACATCTCAAACTACTAGAGACCATGGAGGAGGAAGGTCTGTGCTTGCTTCTTGTGCCATCCTTGGACCTGCTCTGAAGCTCTGCAGCACAATATGCAGCACAATTCCTGCTACAAATTTTTACATGAGCACTTCTACTCGTGTACATGGGGCTGGACACCAGCACTTGAACCCCATGCAGTGCTGCAGGCTTGGGGCAAAGGGGCTGGAGCTGCCCAGCAGAAAAAGACCTGGGGGTGTTGGTCAACTGTCGGCTGAACATGAGCCAGCAGTGTGCCCAGGTGGCCAAGAAGGTCAACAGCATCCTGGCCTCCATCAGGAACAGTGTGGCCAGCAGGACTGGGGCAGTGACTGTCCCCCTGTACTGGGCACTGGTGAGGCCCCACCTCCAGTGCTGTGTCCAGTTTTGGGCCCCTTACCACAAAAAAGACACTGAGGTACTGGAGCGGGTCCAGAGAAGGGTAATGGAGCTGGTGAGGTCTGGAGAATGTCTTGTGAGGAGCGGCTGAGGGAGCTGGGGGTGTTCAGCCTGGAGAAAAGGAGGCTGAGGGGAGACCTTCTCGCTCTCTCCAACTCCCTGAAAGGAGGGTGTAGCCAGGGGGGGTCGGTCTCTTCTCCCAGGTCACAGGTGATGGGACAAGAAGAAACAGCCTCAAGTTGCACCAGGGGAGGTTCAGATTGGCTATTAGGAAAAATGCTTACATGGAAAGGGTTATTAAGCCTTGGAATGGGAAGTGGTTGAGGCACCATCCATGGAGGTGTTCAAAAGACGGCTTGACATAGTGCTTAGAGACATCGTTTGGTGATGATTTTTTTTTGGTCAGAGTTAGGTTGACGGTTGGACTGAATGATCTTGAAGGTCCCTTCCAACCTGGAGAATTCTATGATTCTACAATTCTATGAATTCAGTCTTCTATTTCCCCTTTAGGGACCCAATCTAGCAACACTAATTTGGATAAGGTCATACCGAAGAAGTCAGGAGGCACACGAAGGAGAGGAATGGCAGCCTTACCCTTATTTTATCACACAGCATCGTGTGTGCTACTGAGAGCTGAATTCCCCCCCTGCAAATGAACAGCCAGATATTCCTCAGCAGCACACAGCACACAGCTCTACAGTGTACAGGACATATGTGTTCATACATGATTTTAGTCTGGTTTCCTAAAAAGACTAAACCAACTGATTTAACTTCTCCTGTGTTATACCCATTCATAATATCAACTAATTTTGATAGATTAAGTACTGAAGTTCATAAATTCTTCCAAATTTCTGTGAAAACCATCAACATCATTGGGGTAGCCCAGAATAAGCCACAGCACATGTTATTTCTTGCTAAGCTGGTAGATAGCAGAATCTTAGAATAATTTCAGTTGGAAGGAACCTTTGGGGGTCTTCACTCCAACCTCTTTCCCAGAGTTGTATCAGGCTGGTCAGGCACCAGTTCAATTGAATTTTGACACTCCAAGGAAAGAGACTCTCTCCACCACCTCTGTGGGCCAATGTCACCTATATAACTACCCTCATTGTGTATAATGTGTTTCCTAATGTTTAATGGGAATTCTCCTAGCTGCAACTTGTGTCCATTGCCTCATCTTCTTGCTGTCCACCTCTGAAAAGAGTCTGTCTCTTCTCTATATCCACTCCTCTGATGGCCAAAGATAGCAATTACATCTCCCTTCTCCTTCCCAGGCTGAGCAAACCCAGCTCCCGTGCATAAAAAATAGCTACGAGTATGTCCAATACCCTGCATAGGTTTCTGAATTATGGCTTTACAAAGACTGGAAGGACACCAAAACCAGAGCTCACGTATGGGAACACTGAATGGCATGTGAGAACAGGGTTAGAGACCAAGCTGAAATCTTTTTTGGAAATCTATGGTTTTTACTGCATGCTCTCACCCCACCATCATATCATATAAGCAGGTAATGGAAGAGGATAAAGACCTATTAAAGAACAATTATCCAATGCAATGCAGAAAGACTCTGGAGGGGAGCCTTGTTTCTTACTGTAGGAGGAATGTGACACCAGTAACAGGCAAAGACTTATGAGTCAAGCTAAACAAAACCCCTCAAAGCTTACCAGAATAATTATTCAGACGAAATCTTCCCCAGCAGAAGTGTACTCGGCACTGCTTCACTACTTCTTCCTTCATTAGGCAGTGAAAGACAAAGATAAAGAACCCTAAAGAAGGAAGAAGAGAAATTCACAGGTTTCCTCGTGGATCCTCCAACCTGCTGTCCCTTTTCTAAACTTTTTGTTTGCCACCCAGTTACCAGTGTGTTATGGATGGGCAGAGCGGTGGTCCCTGCGCCAGCATCGTCTTGGATCTCAGGATTGCACTGAGAATCCTTTGTGCATATGAAAGGGTAACAAAAAGAGCTTTCTGCAGATTTGTTTAAGAATAATCTGCAAGTCACTGTAGAGTCTATCAACCATTTTAATGCCCAGATGAAAAGGATTGTGCCAGCTGCTGGAAAGACGCCGTTATTGGGACCCATGTTTCAAAGGCATGAGTGTGTGCCTTTAATAGTTTATCTATCACAGCAACGCCATCTAAACATCACTGTCATCCCACTGCAATGGAGTTTTCCAGTTAAAATACCTAAACACTCTAACACAACAGTTATATGAGCACTCCTCTTCCCCCATGCTTGAATGAGAGAAGTTACAAATTTATTTCTATTCCACAGCCCTAATCTGTTGTATTTATAGAAGTACTTCATTCAGTAATTACCTTGCAAGGTGTTAAAAATGCTGAAGAGATACAAGAAAAATATCCTCACTGCTCCCCAGGCAAAAAAGACAAAGCCCCAAGTTAAGCCCAAAAGGAACATCAAGCTGAAAGCGCTTTTGAGGTCTTGGAGAAAACCTCGTTTCCAGATTCTGGATCTCTTTTGTGTCCTTGATTTGACGGAGTGGATTTGAAGGAGAACAGCGATGAACATGGCTGTATTCGTCAAAAATATCAAGAAGACATAGGCCACAACAGAGATGTAAAAGACTACGTTCTCTTGAATCCAGCAACTGCAAGAAAGGGAAGTATGTACTTAATAAGGAGTTTTGTAAGCAGTGAAGTTAATTAAACCTGGTATCCAAAATAAGTCTCTCATATGGTTCTCCAGTACCTAGTAAAGGACATTCCCTAACACCCATTGCTTTCCCCCAGTGAGGACGTTCATAGATCTCTCCACTTGCCTTTTTTATGGATGTTTTAGAAATTCAGGAACTTTGAGAGTTTAATATTTCTGTCAAATTCAAATAAACCTGACAATTGTTTCACAACTTAATAATGTACACACACAAAGACACACTGCCTTAGGAGCACCAACTTAAACATGACTTAATTAGGAGTCTAAATAATAGTACAGCACAGAGATGAGCACTGGTTAGCTTTTCTTCAGCCATAAATTAGTGAGTTTTACTGCCTTTTTGCTAAAGATGGGTAACAATTTTCCCTCTGAGGTGTCATGGGGGTGTGTTGCCTCTCTGATGGGATAGAATTCAAATATTCCAGGTAATCTTCACCCTCAAGTGATCAGAAAGCAAAAAAAAATGGAAGCATTCTTTGCTGTAAAACCCTTTTAAAAAGAATGAAAAACCCCAATGTTTTCCCACTGGAAAAAAGATGATTTACATAAAAGAATCTGAAATGCTGAAGAAACAGTGATGTGAATTGACATTAAAAAAACAGAAGCAATTGTGGAAAATACTAGAGCAATTATTCTGCCTTTAGGTTTTACCAGAAACCTAGAACATGCAGGTGCAAATGCAAATGTTCCATCAGGCTGAGTTAATGTCACATAAAGAAAGAGATTTTCCAGGCAGTAAAACTGGAGTTGACTGGCAGAAAACCTCCCTGTCCTCAAGCCCAGTCCAGTGATGTGAGAGTTACTCCATCTAATAGCCATACAGTCCAAAATGATCCACTGAACCAGAACCACTCAAAGGAGAGAGCTAAGATGGGGCAGGAAAGACAAAAGACATAAGTTGTTGCCTTCTGGTTATTTCTTCTGTCCTTAAGACACTCTAGTGACCATCAAAAAGCTTAAAGTATTATACTTACAAATTGCTGAATGGGTTGCTCTCCGAGTGTGATCCATTGCCATAGAAGTCTTTATTTATAATGAGCACAATACTAATTACAATAGCTGGTATCCCTAATACAGAAGGCAAGAAAAAAAGAGATATTTAGATTAAAAAGAAAAAAATGGAGACTATGGAAAGATGTCAGATAATCTCTGATGAGTAATTACAGCAGACATGTACATCTTGGGATCACACTCTACCCCTAAAGCTCCCTCTGGAAGTGTAATTAAATGTGTGGCATAGCAGGTTTAATCTCCTTATTTATGTAAATTACAAATTATTAGGCCTAAAAATATCTGTGTTTGCAAAATGTTTGTGAGTGTTCAAACATCTCCAGAAGGGATCCAATCTGGTAAAATAAAGCCAGCTGATTGTTACAAAAAGCAGAGTGTCAAAGCAGACCACAGCGTTTTGTGTTAAGATCTCCTGGAGACAGACATTCTCCAGACAGCGTTTTATCAGTCTTCCTGTCTGCTTGTTTCCCATTTCCCATATTTCTTTCAGCATTGGGCAACTGGGAAATGCTGTTCTGTTGAGAATGGCTGTTTCCAACAGCACCATCACAGCTGGTTGCCCCTGAGGACTGTTAACGTGTGACATCAGACCTAAGGATAGAGATGATGATATGCTGCACACTATTCAAAAGTCTAAAAACAACCCTTAAACCAGTATCTCTTGATTACCAAAACCCAAATTCTCTGCTGGGTCAGTGCCTCTGGTAACACCTTTTCGAACAGCTGAGCCAGCACTTTAGGTACTTTTTGTTCTGTTTCTCCCAAACAAGTCGCTGATGCTCAGTGCTGGGAGGAAAGATGTCAGTGAAGTCCTCAGGAGAGCTAGAAATTAAAGCCAAATCCACCCTCCGGGGGGGTAATCATGCCTAAAATGGCAGGTAAGGACACAAGAAGGAGATCAAAATGACCTCTGAGCATCACCAACGCAGGGGTGAAGGCCATGGGCAGCTCATGCTGCCTCAAGCGCATCGCTGGCATGAGGTACCATGAAAATCATTCCTGTAAGGAGCAGGAGGGGGAGAGAAAGCAGTTCTTTATGCTAATTTTTGGCTTTCCTTCCTTATAAATCTGTGCAGGGAGCAACAGGCACTTGCTGCTCATGCCTCCCTGGGCAGAAGAAACTTAAGCTGAACCTGCCTGGGGGGAAGAAATCCATCCTTGCAGCTTAGGGTGTGCTCCACATTTCTACAGGCTCAGTGTCCTAATTTACTTTCGCAAATATGCCCCTATCTTCGAGAAGTTAATGAGCACAGAAGAAGAGAAGAAATCTGTTTACTTACCCCAGCCAGCAATACAGCATTTGAGGATGTACTTTGGGACATAAACATTGAAAACTTTGACAAGAGCCAAGTAAAAGTGAAGGGACTCCAGGCACATCCACGTGAAAGCCGCAAGAAGGAAATAGTGAAGGAGCACGGCCACGGCGATGCAGAGGCCAGGCTGGTCGAAGGAGGACAGCCAGGAATTGGTGAGGAAGACCATGTTGAGCATCAGCAGCGCGGCACAAAGATTGAGCAGGAGTTTTGAAGGGTTGTCCCTCCGCAGCTTTCTAAAAAGAAGGAGAAGAATCACAAAGTTATTGCATAAGCTGTGCTGGGTACATTCCCTCATGCAAATTAGCACAAATGTGCATTCAGCTTATTATAAATTAGCTTTCTGTCATGGAAGTTGTGTGTACCTTTGTGTTTTACATCAAATCACTAGTGTGTTTTTGAAGCAGATCTCCCAGCCTGAAAAAGCAGAGTACATGGAGACCCTCTGGGTTTTTCACATTTGGTGGAGAAGAGACAGACTTAATATAATCTTTTTACTCCTGCATCAAATATTACTGTTATTGCAATATTACTGGATTATGAAAGCACCCACTGTTACCTAAGTCTGGGGCCCCATCATACCAGGAGCTACTGGTACACAAAGTATAAAACAAAAATTATCCCAAAGGACACAACACAAGAAAGACCAAGAGCAAGAGAAGAGAAAAACCTTCCCTATTTTACTGTTGAAATCATCACAGTCTATATACAGGGAATATTCTGGATTGCTGATATCACCCGATGTATAGGCAATATACAGGGAATATTCCAGATTCTTGACATGGTATCTTACCCATCCGTGGGTAAATTTATGAAATGACAGAAATTTAGGAGCACAGAAGTTGCTGAGCGGTTCAGACCAGTGCTTGTATTGAAGCATGAGGATTTGAATCCCTCTTATTTCTTCACAGTCACAGGTCAAAATAAAGCAGTATTTAGACTGTCTTCCCTCCTATGCATCACAGCATCAGATATTACCAAACATTCTGATAGTTGCTGCAAATTCATTATTGCTAAAATATGAATAGCAATGTAAGAAAAAGGGTCAGACTTACTCCAGGGTTAGATATGTCACCAGGGTTATACCCAGAAAAAGGGAAGAAGCACCACATCCTGCATAGCTTATCAGAGTTAATATACGATCATGTGTGGCATCTATCTCTTTCCGGGACAAGTCCTGTGTTACAGGATAAAGAATCACAGTTGTTTGCCATATCAGATAAAGAAAACTGCTTTCCACATTTTCACATGGATAAAGAAATCAATTTCTATTCCGCTTACTGCTACTTTTCCATTAATCTTTTTATGTTTCTTATTGTATAGTCCTACAGAATATCCAAACTAGTAAAAATAGGGAGTATTTAGAGTATCCAGCTGTGAAGCTAGAAAAGCTGTACTTCTGAAACCACAAATTCAACAAGGATTCCAGGATCTTGCCAGAGTTATTCCACTGGGAGCTGGCTTTGTAGGAGAAACTCTACGTTGTTTCTGTGCCAGCCATGCTTGGGAACTGCACAAACCTGCTAAATGTCTTGGAGCGTGGGAGGACCCTCCACGTCCAGAAAGCATCACTCTGCAAAAATCAACTAGGGGCTGGCCCCCATCCTCCACAGCTGCCACCGGGAGGGATGGTGAGAGGATCTTCTTGTTCCCTGCCACAGTTTCTCTTCTATTTTGTGAAACTTTGAACCTCAAACGGTGAAACTTTGGTCTCATAACCTACATCTCCGGCGTACAAGTGACTTTGTGTTGTTAAATGACTCCACTGATTACTACCATGACAGTGCAGGAGAGGTGTGATCTTAAAATCACACTGAATTCTCTTCACTTGAATAGAAACTTTAGCAAGTTGTCTGAAATCTGTAACATCTAAATTGCTTCTTGTACAACTCCCATTTTTACTACCAGGGAGGACTTTGGTGTCCCCTGGGAGCAGGGTCGTGCTGAGCTCTGGGGGAAGCCGGGCAAGCTCCAAAAAGGGATGGCCTTACCCCATCACAGAGGTTGTATCCCAATGGGATTAAACAGTTTTAATCTACTTGGTTTGCTCTGAATTTGCCTAACACTTGGTGTTTGTGCAGCTTATTCTCAGGCAGTCATCTCATTTTTTGACATTTAGCTTTTGGGATGGCCTTACCCCATCACAGAGGTTGTATCCCAATGGGATTAAACAGTTTTAATCTACTTGGTTTGCTCTGAATTTGCCTAACACTTGGTGTTTGTTCCAGCTTATTCTCAATCAGTCATCTCATTTTTTGACATTTAGCTTTTAGAGGCAGTTTTCTATTACACAGAGAAATAAGAGACAATAGTTAATGACATCTCCCATATTTATATTAAACCTCCCTTTCTGATGGAAAATAGATCTACTTATTTTTTACATTAAGGTGTAATGTCATTAGTTGCCACTGACAGGTAATAAATGTAACACATTATTATTTCCAACACAGCAAATAACACATTAACATTGATTAAGTTACATTGCAAAGAGATCCAAATTACATCTGTAAAATGGATTTGTCTCGAGGCAAGTGACATTTAGAGGACTTTATACCATAAAAATTATCATAACGATTTTGTTTATTATTACTGATTTTGGCAAAAGTTGTCAATATCTAACAGCTTGTATAGATATGAATCTCCCATCTCTCCCCAAAACTAGAGACGACTGTTTAGTGCCACGGGACTTTTCTGGAGGTGATTCATGGAGTACTTACCAGTAGGACTCCAAAATGGGTAAGATGGTTACAAAAACAGATTGTGTAATTCATATCTGTATATTCCATTTCACACCCCGATGTATTCCAACCTCCCAGTCCATCTGTGTAATAGAGAAAAAGGGATTTTTAAGCAGAGTTAGTCATGCTCAGTCATTTATAGCTCTGCAGCATGCAGAATGTGTGAATCTGAGCTCAAGTTAGTACAGATTGCAGGGTCATTTAGCAGCACACAAGTGAGATTTCACACAGGAACACATCTCATATAGTTGCCTGAGAAGCTCAAAACTTGGATGAGAGCCTTTGGTGGAATGAAGAAATATTGAAAGTCATTTACATGCTTGCACACAGAGAGAGCAGGAAGGTAAGGAACAGTGTGCTGGGCTAGATTATGCTGCAGGGTGTGGAAACACAGAAGGCAAGAAATATTTACAGGGCAGAGGATTTGTTTAGGCAGAATGTAGCATTGAAAAAGCCTCATCCGACAGCTGGAGCCCCTCTGCTGTGAGGACAGGCTGAGAGATCGGGGGGGTTCAGCCTGGAGAAGAAAAGGCTCCAGGGAGACCTTAGAGCCCCTTCCAGTCCCTCAAGGGGCTCCAGGAGAGATGGGGAGGGACTCTTGATCAGGGAGAGGAGCCATAGGACAAGAGGGAACGGTTTTAAACTGAGAGAGGGGAGATTTAGATTAGATATTAGGAAGAAATCTTTCACTGTGAGGGTGGTGAGACCCTGGCCCAGGTTGCCCAGAGAAGCTGTGGCTGCCCCATCCCTGGAGGGGTTCAAGGCCAGGCTGGATGGGGCTTGGAGCAACCTGGTCTGGTGGGAGGTGTCCCTGCCCAGGGCAGGGGGTGGAACTGGATGGTCTTTAAGGTCCCTTCCAACTCTAACCATTCTATGATTCCCTGGTAAGATTACATTTTTGACCCTATTTATGTGGCATATATGACATATTCAGAAGCTAAGCTTCTGATTTAAAAAATCTAACACCAGTATCTAACACCAGTATCTAACACCAATAATTGCAGAGGAAACTTCTGCCAGGTGTTTTCAGTCGACCAATTGTTTCAGTAGAACAATACACAGCTATCTTTCTGCGTCTGTTGACTACCTGAGCCATATTCAAGACGTGACCACAGCAAAGCCCCTACCGACCTCCCCTGAAGTGACTGGGAGAAGTCATCAGACATTTCATTGCATTGCTGCTTTTTTCTTAGACTAAAGTCCTCTTATTCACGTAGATGCACCCCTGTATGATGCCAGACACGTATGCCCTAGTAGTAACATGGATTGCTGGGGTGCCAATGTCAATGGAAACCAGCAACACAGAGTCATCAGGGCAGCCTCAGAGTCTCAAGCTGCCGTGTCAAGGAGCCAAAGGCTCTGTGAGGCTGGTGACAAGCTCTGTAAATAGCACTTACTGTTCTTCTCAAAGTCCCAAAAGGCGCAGTGCACTGCTGCATTACCCTGAAAGTGGAGAAAAAGGAGGCTGTGACATTCATTCAGTACGTCTGCACCTGCAGACGGCACATCTCGCCTGTAAATCAGGGTTTATCTCTAAGGTAGTTTGATTTCCTCTGTGCTGCTCGACAAGAAAGCAGTTATTTGCACGGTGGAGCTGCGTAGGGTCTGCAGGTGGCTGGAGATGCCAGCAGTTCAGGGGCAGTGGGACACTCAGTCCCATGGGGATCCATCTCACCCATGGCACTGAAAACCAGCAGAGGGTCCCAGTTTTCACCTTCTGCTTTACTAAGGGGAGTCCTGGGAGTCAGTGATTTTCCCAATTCTATCAGTCTTTCTGTATCTTGTAGTCTTTGAAGGACAGCAGAAAATCTGACAAGTTGTCCAGCTTAGACCGATTCCTATGTTTAATCTCGTTGGCTTCATGAGGTACTGAGATGTCATACCAAATTACTGGTGAAATTCGCAAGTTATGACCAAGACCTAGAATAGCAACCTGAGATTTTATACAGTAATAATAATAAAAAATAATTCTCAACACAAGAAAACCTTTATTTTAGAATTTCAGCGTTTTGTCTCTCTCTCTGAAACAAGGCAGGGAAGACACCTAAGAAAAAATAAAACTTGCCTGGATATTGCAAACAGCTGAACAGATTTAAATGGGGATTCGATGCAGCGTTTTCTCCTGGGGACATTCTAGTTTATTACTCATAATGCTGCAGCAAACTTTCCCAAGGCACAGATTCATTTTATTTTATTATTATTATTAATAAAGTTTATTAAAGTACAGAGTTCACAGGAAGCCACCCTAACAGATAAGCTGTTAAGATGTGAGATCTGTAGGCTGTCAAATATAATTAGGCAGAGAGCCAAAGGAGTAGGGTAGGATAATATCTCATTAAATATTTAATTAGGGTATTTTTTAAAGGTCGAGGGAAAAATCTGAGAGGTGCCAGATGGCCTGGTGGAGTAAAAATGACGGAAGAGAGGGGTTATCTAGATGGAATTTCTGGGTATACTCTATTTGCTAGAACTGAGTGGAAGGAGCATATTGCCATAAGAGCAGCATTTTCAAGCTCTCATTAACGTGAGCTTTAATCAAATTAATCTCATTGAACCGTTTTGCTCTGTCCTGGGTTTGCAATACGTATTCGTGTGTAGGCTGGACCCTAAACATCAGCAACACAAAAATGCTAAGGTGAAACTCAGTCAGTAAGTTTCACCCATGGCCATTTGAAAATAATTTAAGATAGATTTTAGTTTTGAAACATCATTCTGAAACAAAACAAAGCGAAGCAATTTTGGAAACATTTGTGCAATGTTTTGATTTTTTTTGAAATGTACTTCTTTTGGTGACTAAAACAATTTTCTGAATTCGGAGCAACTACAAATAATTTCAGTCAAATCTCAAATCTGCCATTTTTTAGCAAATAAACTATTCCTGGACAAAAATTCTCCAGGCCAGACCAAGAAAACAATAAGAACATGCCTTGATGCTAAGCATGGGTTTAGAGTGGAGACACAAGCTTTACTAACCCTCAGGAATTAATTCTGGTCTGTCAGTGTTTTGGGTGATATATCATGGAAAGGTCAGGCAGCAAGCTTATTTATCCTGTTGCCAGTTCATTGTGAGTCTAAGTGAAATAGGCTCCACTTCCACACGTCTCTGAGGAACTGAACACATCCTACCGTATTTTGGTCCACGTGCTGAAGAGTAATAGTCACGGGCTCATTAAGGTTCTGAACTGATGCGTTTTCGATGCTGGCGCTCACAACGTAGGTATTCAACCTCTCCGTCTTTAAACTGTCATCCTGAAGGGGAAAAATACAGGTAAAAATAGCAAAAATTCCAAGTCATTTCAGTTGCCAGCAATCCTGCTCTTCCCCTGCTTCCATTTTTTTAAAAATTGTGTTTCTTGGAAATGGTGATCAGCTAAACGCCACGGGATGCCTGATGTCATTTAGCTACTTGCTACTTCATTAGCAAACACTGTTAGATGCAAATTCAGGGAGAGCCTGCACATCAGCTCAAGCAGAACAGAGTTGCAGATGCATCAGCTGGATCGAGAAGGCTGTATAATCGTTTCGGTAGATCAAAACATCCAGTTGTACATCATTAAGCTCGTTAGACAGCAGACACAATTAGGAATGCTGCTTCTGTGTGAAAAGCATCGCTTAGCACACTGTACGCGCCACTGTACTGAAAGAAATATCTCCCTTTGTAATTATGCCCCCCCATTACACCCTAGAGCTCTTCTGTGCTAGAATAGTCCTAAATGCTGTGTGTCGGTGCTGCTGTGGTTTTAGTGGAGACATGAATCTTGCAATTATTTTCATGATCTCTGACATGTACAATGCATGTTCTTTAAGCAAGAGCTTACTGTCAGAGGAAGATTAGGGTCTGTTCTTTTCCTACAGTAGAGTAATAAAACATCACCTACAGAAAATCACGGGATCATAGAATTGTCTAGGTTGGAAGGGACATTCAAGATCATCTAGTCCAACCATCAACCTGACTCTGACAAAAACAAAAACCACATCACTAAACTGTGTCTCTAAGCAATACGTCAACCCGTCTTTTGAACACCCCCAGGGATGGTGCCTCAACCACTTCCCTTTGCAGGCCCTTCCAACGCTTAATAGCCCTTTCCATGTCAACGATTTTCCTAATATCCAATCTGAACCTCCCCTGGTGCAACTTGAGGCCATTTCCTCTTGTCCCATGGCCTGTTCCTTGGGAAAAGAGACTGACTGCCCCCGGCTACACCCTCCTTTCAGGGAGAGCGAGAAGGTCTCCCCTCAGCCTCTTTTTCTCCAGGCTGAACACCCCCAGCTCCCTCAGCCTTTTCTCATAAGATTTCTGAACCAAATGAACAAAAAGTCTAAGGTCTTCAGACACCTCTCAGACCATCATTGGTACAGTGAAGGCTTTGCTGCCTGGCTACGCTTCCCCTGCACATTTCTTAGTGCTCCATCACTCTGGGACTAAACGTGCCCAGAACTGATGATGCAACTGGAATTTTTCTTTAGTACACGCTAAGACCAGATGAACAGATTACTGCTGAGTGAGCATTTGGTAGGAGTTGTAGTTACTGCAAAGAGTGAAGGCGTGCCAAAAAACTTAAACTGGATCTTCGAATGCTTCTCTGGGTCGGAGTGCTCCATCCCTAAGAATTTCTTCAGTGATTTTGGCAAAAACACCGAGGCCAGGGCATTTTTGAAAGGGTTTTCTTGAACGTTGATCTGCAGGAGAGAGAGGGATGACATGCTCAGAGCTGCCTTCCTCAGGCCAAATTCCCAGTGGTACAAAAGAGCAGGATTGTGTAGTTTACTCAGCAGTCCCTAAGGTGTGGCTTCGCTCTCACCTTGAGGTCCATGCCTCTGCTGTAGGAGGTGACGCCAAAGGCCAGTCCTCCAAACACACTGGGGTCTGGACGGGTCACAAGCAGAGCCAAGGAAGTGGTTATCACTGATGTATTTCTTTCTGTGTAAATCACCTTATAGCCTATCTCCTCCGTTGTCTTCAGGATGCTTTACCAAGAGCAACAGCAAGGGGAAAAAGGGGGAAAAAAAGTAAGATACGTCTCTTGAAATGTTCCCCTGGCTTCATAATACACAGTCAGAAGCCAATCAGCCAAAAACCTCAGCTCTGATTTATGATCACAAGGAGCAATCTCTAGAGCAGAATGGGTCTGTTTTGGGGTCGGTGGCACTTTGGCTGGCACAGGGTCAGGTGACAACAAGCAATTGAGTTAGTGAATTGGTTCCACTTCAGCAGGTGGGAGATACCATCCCGTGGGGACAATGTGAGATGGTTCTGGGAAGACCTGAGTCAAAATTCATACCCAGTGAAATACAGCGTGTCATCTGCAAGGCAGTCACTTGTCAAATCTGCTAATTCAATTATTTGCAATCATCTAATTGTGCCTAAACTGTGTAAAAGATCGGAGACAGAATAATTCAGTCTGCAAGGGAGCTCTGGAGGTTGGTCCTCCAGCTCCCCACCTACTCCCAGGCAGTGCACACTTTAAAGGTAGGTCAGCTTGCTCAGGGTCTTCACCAGTAAAGCTCTTTTCTAAGTAGAGAGTCTAAGTAGGATTCTGAAGGAAGCAGCCAATTAGGCTTGTTTAATACTCATGGGTATTAAAAGAGTCAGAGACAGCTCCACATCTTTTGGGCTGCCCTCAGGCTATTCAGCAGTATGCATGAAGGGATAATGCTCTACTGAAGGTGTGTATGACAGCTGGCCCCAGCAGACTAAAGGAAAACCTTCCTGTCCTTCTTTGACCTGGTGTTATCTTCATGAATCGTTGGTGCCAGACACACAAGGACCTCCACGGGATCCTTTCAGCCCCAGCTACCCTGGGGCTGCAAGGTCTGGAGTTCAACTTCCTCTAAATATCCAGCAAAATTTATGCTGCGGCCCAAAAGAAGGAGCATAATAGCTCTTGTGAGGATAACATGCTAGCACTCACCAGTGGTTCTGCTCTTCTGAGGTCTGATTTATGGAAAAAATAAAATACCTAAGATACTTCTGTCCATAAAAGTCGTAAGGACATTTTGATTAAAACTTGTACATACCAACTCCATCTCCATTAAGGATCAGGAATCCAGGCGCTATTAGAACATCACCATTGTCCCTAAAACCTTACATTTCACAGGAGGAGAATTGGAATTAATGGGTATTTTACTTAAAAAAAAAACAACCCACAGCCTCTTTGAGAAGGCAGAGGAGGTGAGTGCTGGCAGCTATCACAGCCCCCACTCCACACACCGCAGTGCAGGAGACTTTGAAGGGAGAGCGTACAGCCAAAGGGATCACGATGCTACTCAATGCTTTCTCTCTGGCAGATTTTCTAAGCTATTTTTGTCTACTTTGGCTACTCCTAACCCTTGCGGATTCCTGCATTGGAAAAGGCAATGTGTAGTTGTCCAGTACAAACGACTGGGCTGTTGCGTAGTCTATACCCCACCTAGAACTTAAGTGGAAAGTTCATTTTTCTTGCTTTTGATATTTTTATTTTAATATTTCTTATTAAAATACTGGTCTACATTAAGTGAGAGAAAATCACAGATAGGCACAGTCTTTAAAATGAGAGATGCTGAAAGACTTTTTAGTACGATGAGCAGCGCATCTCTTACGCTGTTGGTGGATTTGCCATTCAAAGTAGACTAGTCTTTCCTATTTGGAGGTTCAGGCCATGCAGGGAGAGGTGGATAAGTTGTCTGGCACAAATCAGAAATGGGTAACCTCTGGGTGCTTGCATTCGCCTTTGTAAAGGCTGTTGGGCGTTTTCTGGACAGCACGCAGCTCAGCAACAGACACCAGATGTTTCAGAAACAGGTATTTGAGCTACTTGTAAGATCTCAAAGGCAAGAGATGTCTGGAAAGTTATCGAGCAACCTCGATTTTAGCAGACGTGAGAATCACATAATGGATGTAGAATCCTAAATGTAGATTTGGAAGTCTAACACTGAATAGCTAGGTTTGAAAAATCTCTATCAGCACGGGTACAGTGCTCCAGCCTGGTGTGCTGGTGGAACAGATACGTGTCTCCAGGCTGACCTGCCAACAGACCTCACTGCTGAGATGTAGAGAACACCTCTGAGATGAGATGAGATATGGGATGAGTTGAGATATGAGATGAGATGGCAGGTAGGCAGTCTCCCTCATCTGCCTCCAGGCTGAGATGCCCATAGAGAGCAACTTCTGCAGAACTGCTTCTGGTAAAAGCACCTTTGACAACACAACTTCCAATTTCTGTTGCTAAGAACTGCAAACGTGTTTAAGATCCAAGCACAGAAATTGCTAACTCTCGGGGTGATATTTTAATAGACTGAATGAATTACTCCATGGTGTCTTTTTAGCTTAGGAAGCCACTTGTGGGCAAGTTATCTTACTTACCTATTGGTCATTTTTCTGATGTTCTGATCTTCTATTTCTTGCAGCAAAATATAGTTTACTATAGACAATACAGTCTCTGCAAGTGTCACAGTTATATCTGCAAGCCTTACGATATCAAAAATTTTACTTGCAATGATTTCTAGTTCTTCCCTGTACAGTGTTGCATCTGGCAAGAGGTACAAAATATGCTCTACAACATCTTGTGCATTCTCTGAAAAAAAAGGAAATACAGATGATTTGTGTGGCATAGCTGTATGTCTGTCTCACTGTATAACTACATGTCTCTGTGATAAAACAAGGAGTTAAGCTACTTCTCTTTCCATATGGTTGTAATGCTTCTGATCTATTAAAAATGATAAGAATAAGTCAATAAGCCCTCAACATCTCAATGAAACTGGCAAAAACTTTGAAGAAAAATCCGGATGTCTCAGGTTGTGTTTTAAAGGAAGAAAAGTATGTACTTTCATAAGAATATTATCACCTACTTTTGGATTATAAAGATTATCTGTAAATAATATTTAGTTTTAAGTTTGGTCACCTTTACAAGCATTTGAGAGTTCAAAATTACACAAGATCTGTCCCTCTCCCCAAATGCTGCTTAACTGGTTTAGCAGCAGGAGCAAATTCTGAATGGTATAGTTTGAAAAGTTGTATTTGTCATTCATCATCTCATCATCCTTTTAGAATTTTTTTATAGAAGCAGAGTTTTACACCCTGGGAGTCAGACAGACTGTACACAACCGCAGATATCTTTCAATGATCTATTATATTCGATGCCACTGCCGAGTAGGTGGATGAGCTGTGGTATTGGCTTTGTTCACCATTCAAACAACTTGCACTGTTTGTCACAGCTTAAAAAACCTATAATCAGGTGGTAAAGGTCACCTTACAGCCTGCATGAATTACAAGCACAAACTTTTCAGTCCCATACGCTGATTTGTGCTTCTTGGTATGAGACATTATGAACTACTTTTATGCAAAACAGGCAAAACCTGTCATGTTATTCATGGGTTATTTACGTAGTTCTAAATCTAAGTGTGGGATTTGAGACAAGTCTTCAAAGTTCTAGCTAGAGAATTCTGAAGCACCTGCAATACTCATCTACATTAAAAACACTTTAAGATGACTGGGTGAGTAGGATGCACAGAAAGCAACCTTACCCCTTTGGTTGTCCAACATAAGCATTATCTGAGTATAACTATTTTTACTTTGATTCACTGAGGTAGCTGGCGCCTTACCTTCTGTTATCATGATATTTTGGAGGTCTAAAATATTGTTTGGAAGTTCTTCCAGTAATTTACATTCAGTCATATTTGGTTTCTTCCAGAAAGCTCGTTCAAGTTCAATATGAATTGCACTGAAAAATGAAAACAGTGTACACCGTTACAAGAAAAAAAAATAATAATAATTGGTGTTCCTCATATTTCTCATTTAAGTAGGTAAAAATGTAATTGATTAGCCCAATTTTGAAAATTGACTTGCAGGTCAGATCCAACTTAGCACTCATTTAGTGGAGTGGGAGCAGAGCCCAAATGCCAGAGCAATTTGAAGTGTATCTATGTGGAGGTACTGGAGGTAGTGGAGCCATGGATGGGTGGCATGAAGTGCTACAGCCCATCTCTTTCCCCTCCCTACTCGAGCAGAAACTCAGGATTTCCTACTCTGCTGGTTTGCAGGGGCTGCAGGCAATGGGACTTTTCCTGCAGCCCCTGATGGACTGGCCCTTTGATTCTCCTTGGCATGGGGCTGCTGTGTGCCCGGACAGGCCACCATCTGGATCACTGTCACACCAAGCATGGCCCTGCTTCCTGTTTCCCGTGGAAGAACCAAAATGAGATGCTCTCACGGCTCACCAGCTCCTCTGAGCAGACTGCAGAGGGTTTTTCCAGCAGCTGACCTCCACTTCGCTGGCTGGGCTTGTGAGCGGCCAGGAATAATTCCCCTTGTAGGCTGTGTGTGAAAAGCTTTCTGGACAATCCATTAGTTCTGAGGAAGAAATAGATAATAGCTCTTTAAAAAGATGTAATAGTCAAGAAGAAGATACCCCCCCCCGACACCCAGCTGTTCTCTGGACCTCCTTTCCTGATGGGAATGAGATGTAATTTGCAGACTGGATAGGAGCATTTTACAAGTTTACTGGCTGCAAGAAAACATCTTGCTTAAATGTTTTATCTGTTCTACAATCTTTTTCTCTTTTGTTTGGCAAGGTCAGCTCTCAGGTAAAGTGTTAAGTTTCCCAGCATCACAAAGCATTTAATGACAGTACATCCTGCAGGCTTCTCTCATCTATCTGAAGGTGCTTTCATGCTGCCCCTCACTTCCCCATCAGTGTCTTTCTTCCAGGCTTATAATTTTATTGTCTGCAGCTGATCTTTTGTAAGTCTTTGGAATAAAATGTGGCTTTGAATTTCAGGTACAGTCTGTTAGCTCTTATCTTTGGCTTACTTTCGTATTTTCCAGAATCACAAAATGCTATGGGGTTGGAAGGGACCTCTGGAGATCATCCAGTCCAACCCCCTGCCAAAGCAGGTCCACCCAGAGCAGGTTGCACAGGAACTTGTCAAGGTGGGTTTTGAATGTCTCCAGAGAAGGAGACTCCACCACCTCCCTGGGCAGCCTCTGCCAGGGCTCTGCCACCCTCAAAGTAAGGAAGTTGCTCTTCATGTTGAGATGGAACTTCTTATGTTCCAGTTTGTGCCCATTTGCTCTTGTCCTGTCCCTGGGCACCACTGAAAATAGACTGGCCCCATCCTCCTGACACCCTCCCATTAAGTATTTATAAGCATTGATCAGATCCCCCCTCAGCCTTTTCTTCTCCAGACTAACAGACCCAAGTCCCTCAGCCTCTCCTCATAAGCGAGATGCTCCAGACCCCTCATCATCTTTGTGGTCCTCTGCTGTCCCCTCTCCAGCAGTTCCCTGTCCTTCTGTAACTGGGGTGCCCAGAACTGGACACTGCTCTAGATGGGGCCTCCCCAGGGCAGAGCAGAGTGGCAACAGAAGCTTTAAGGGGCAACAGAAACTTTAAGGAGCAACAGAAATTGTAACCAAACCAAGAGATAGGTTATTTGCCATCTGAGGCTTAGTCCAATACACACTGACATTAAGAGAATGTGGGCAATGGGTTTAGTTTTGGTGTTTGGCTCCGTCTCCAGGACCCTGGCTCTGAGCAGGAGCTCCTGGGTTTCCAGCTGCATCAGCTCGACCTCCCCTCCATCGGAGGTGCTCAGACCTGCCTCAGCACCAGGATTCAAGTTCTAGCTTACCTCTGATTGTCTGCAGCCCAGGTCCTTGATCTCACTGTCATTGCGTGATGCTCTACAGCTCGTGCATCACATGAGGTCAGTCTGGCTACTTGTAGGGATGTTTTCTAGCCCTAACCTCTCCACAAAGTTTCAATTAGATAGCACACTTGTAGCCAGAGTTACAAAGCATAGGATTTTAATGAGGTTTTAAAGAAATATTACCTATTGGCTTGACAGCCACATCTTCAGGTTTCACATGTAAGAATAATGGTCCCTCTTCGTAGGTGTCATTCAACAACTGCTTGATCCTGAGACTCAGCACTTCCTGCGTTTCAAGTGATGTGGCCTTTATAATGACCTTACAGATGTAGCTACAAAGAGAATACACAAACAAAGGTACCGTATTGGTAACATTTTGCAGTGATAAGTGGCTACAAAAATAAGGAGTCACTCAGAAAATTATACTGAATTGGATAATTTATGGCTGCGTTTTGTTGACCATAAGTGCAGTCCTATGGCAAATGTTGCCAAACACCACTTGTTACGTCCACTAGTGCCTTATCACTGGAAATGTGTTCTAAAGTATGAATTATTGGGACTACAGGTACAAGAATCTATTTATAGCTTCATGGTAAATACCTCAGAAGGTTTCCTAATCATGTTATCTTGGCAAAGGAACATCTCTGTCACAAGCAAGCATTTTTCAACCATGTTTTAAAGTTTGGAGCAGGCTAGTCATAAAACCATGAGGTATTTGAGCACATCTGTGTCCAAACAGAGGTGGCAGACTTTGAGGCTCCCTGGAAAGCTGAGATTTAACTAAGTGCTTTTTCAGTGGCTCCACTGGATTCTGGCTTTGTTTTCTCCTCAAAACAGCTATTCTTCTGGATAACTATGGTTTGCTGACCGTAGGGGGTTTGAAAAGACTGTATCTTAGTCTTTGACAGGCTTCAGATGTGGCAGAAAGAAGCAAGAAGCCAGCTCTCTGTTGTGGGTGGATCACCTCACCTCTTATTTAACTGAGGGCTAATGAGTGAGGTTTCCTTAGGACTAGGATCTTTCAAGTGTTCCCAGCTCACTCCTGCTTCTACACGGTTGTTCCCCACTCAGCATGGCCTTTGGAAACCGTTTGCAATGCCTTGAAGGTGATGGGAATCCAGCTCTCCTTTCTGTTCTGGCCTGAGGTCAGAAGGCTATTAGGTTTTCCCCCCGAAGAGGTTCAGGATTCATCCCAGCAGACTTCTTGGACATTTCCGCTCACTGTTCTGACCCCAGGGAAGGATACTGCTCACAGCCAGCTCTTACATGGGGTGCAAACCTTCCCACTGGCTGTGGAAGCACTTTGAGATACGGGGTATGAGGGGGAAACTGGGGATGCTCAGATGCATTTCCCCAAGTCAAGCATTACTGTGGTTCTGTCTCCACGTGGGCTTTTCTGTTTTAGACAAGTAAAGGATCCACAATTAAAACAGCTGAGGAGGGGCATGGTTGCTATGGAAAACCCAGCTCATAACCACGGGTCTTACCTTTGTGACATCTGCTTTACCTTCATCGTCAGTTCGCGTAGAAGGAGACAAAAAGTTAGAAGCTGGTTAAAATCAACTGGATTTTAAGGATAGCAAACAGCAGAAACGCTCTATGAAAATAGAGCCTATTGCTTTAAATGTTATTAGGACCCATCTCTCTAGAGCAGCCTTTGTTTGACAGAACTTCCAGGGGTACATGAGGATTAACCAGAACATGCTGCTTCCTGAAGAGAGCAGAGCAGATCTATATACACCTACCAGACTGAAGGTCAATATTTAATAATTTCAACGGAGTACAGTATCATGCAACTACTATATCCTCTATGCAGAGATAAAAAAAAAATAAGCTTATTTAATCAGAAAATAACAAATTACATACACGGGTCCTCTTATAGACACTGCTCTCTGGATAATTATACCTGCAAGCAAAAGAGAATAGAGTAATTATTTCATAGTAGGCGTATAACAGGTCCCCTCCTGCTATCGCCTTAAAAAATATCATTTTGCAACCACAGTGAGCCAGACCTTGCAGCAGAGAAGTCATCTTGAATTCAGCATAGGTACATTGATGGAAATCACCGAGACCAAGTGCTGTATCATATATGGACCCTGGCAAAAAAGGCTACTTCCAGAATGGGACCTGCTCTTCTCTTATGGTTTCCTGCATGGGATTCACCCCGTGTAAGAGCAGAGTGTAACTGCATTGCCATTTGTAAAGCAGGCAGGAACTGGGGAAGTCAGAGAAGAAAGTAGGAAGTGGAAACATGCATAAAATGCTAAAAATCCCTGTCTGGAGAAGTGACACTGTTATGAATTGCTAAATACCCCTCTGAGCTGCTCACAGTTCAGATATGAATACAGCTGGATTGAGTTAAAGGTGTGAAACAGAGGAGTCTTGTGCAACAAACCGTTGTTTCTGAGCAGGGTTTCGGAGCTCTTAGACCCTTTCATTAGACATGGCCACGCAAGAGCCAGCACGTACCTACTTACACAGCCCTCAGGGGTCTGTGACCCTTGCTCTGAGGATGGATGTGACCCCTAAACTCCTCCATACTCACATGCAGTCACTGAAACAGGGCTTTAGCAGCACTAATGTGAATTAACCCTGCATGTACCAGCACCCTGCCCTACCTTCCATCTCCTTGAAGCATCAATTTCTGCCCTTTTTGCATTGCCAGGTTGGCGTGCCAGGTGTACCAGCCCACAAAACACATTGCTCACACACTGCAGAGGTCTCACCTTCATCATCAACCAATTTATATGGGCAAAGATGAGGTCTCAGCTCGACAACAGCTACTTGCCTTGCATTAGGCAGAAGATACATTTTCAGGTGAATGAGCCCAGGAAACAAAATATGGGTGTTCCACGCGATTGCAGTTGGGCAGGGTTTGGTTTACACCCTTGTCACAGGACTGGGCAGTTGTGAAATGTGTATTTAGAACCTGGCTGAAGTTTCACTCCAAGGACAAAGGGTAAAGGTGACACCACTACACAGCAGAGGCTTACCTGACTTTAAAGTTTGTCACAACAAATTCTTCTCCAGTAAATATGATACTAAACTGGAAAGAAATCAATGACATTTTTATTAACTTGATTTATCACTACGTTATCTAAATCTGCTTGCAAATTTAGAATTCTCATCAAAATTCTAAATCCTGATGAAAATGGCTAAAAATTTTTGCAAAATGTCAACACTTTTCCTTTCCTTCTATATTTAATTTTATCGTGATAAAAATGTGTTGGATAACATGATTCTGAAACACAATATTGTCACGTGGCTAGTCATTTCTGCACTGTCCCATAAGTTTGCATTCTGTACCAGCCATCCTCCTCGTCTGACGCTTGCTGGAAATACAGGAGAATCGATTGTGCAATGCCATGGCTACTCATTTTTGAGCTGTCCCATAAGTTTGCATTCTGTACCAGCCGTCCTCCTCGTCTGATGCTTGCTGGAAATACAGGAGAATGAGGAAAGGAAGCTACTCACCCAGTTTTCCAGAAGTGTCCTTGCATCGTAGTAATCGGGAGCTCTCTCAGTTTTGTAGAAAAGAGAGACGTTCATGCCAACGTTAAAGAAGCTGACTGTAAGAGGAGAACAACCTGTGAGATGCAACCTGTAGTTTGCCCAGAGGGTTCCTGCGCCCTTTCCCACCTCCTCACCCCTCCCTTCAACGTTTCCCATTCCCACAGCCACCAAGGCTCTTTGGGAAATCCCAAACTCCAAGTGTCCGAGTCCAGATGATACTGCTAGAAATTTCAGTAAAGAGCCGAAGGCCCCAAAGAAATGGTCAGGTTGTCACAGTTTAATGAACACGTTGTGGTGGTTCGTGCTTGTGGGTGCACTAACTTGGCTTTTGCTGCCTGCTAGGAATGCCTAGGAAGAGGTCAGGAGGATGGACAGACCTACACCTTGCTCAGCAGCAATAGCTTGAAACACATGACCGAGTCTGAAGTTGTCACCTGTATGGTGTCAAGCAGTGTCAATGATGGCCGTGTCAGCGTTTAAAACGGCCTCCTGCAGCACTTACGTGGGATGGTGCCTCTGGTACTCCTGGTTGGAGCCCTCGTTGACCATGCCTCCCTGGAGCCTGCTGAAAGGAACAATAAAAGGTCTGAGAATCCACAGTGGCAAAAGCTTAAGGAAGAGCATGGTCCCGGACTCAATAGTGGTCTGAGTTCTTCAGCGAAGGTCATCATAACGACCAGCTGCTGTTGTCCCCCAGAGCTCTGCAGGGGGAAGGCAAAGGGGGAATTACACCTACATGTGGGGTTTCTTTATTTCTCCAGAGGTAACTGTGGCATGACAGGGGAGAAAACGGGATTTGCAGGGTTTAGATCACAAGGAATACCGGAGTTTATGCAACATTCTACTTTTTAATTGTTTCTGTTGAAGAGCAGTTATCTCTCCGTTCCCTTCTTGCCCGTGTAACCTGTGCCAGCCCTCAGGAAATGGGGTTTGTCAAACACTGAGTGCTAACGGGTCAGCCTTGCAGCAACGAACGTAGGATGAACATTGATGTCCACAGCTTCTGGTTTAACCATAACCTGGCATAAGGACTCCCATTATAAATCCCGGTCATCCTGCCTTGTTGCTTTCAAAGTAAAGAATTCCGAGAATTCGTTGGAAGCTAATTTTCCTTGAAGTGAATCACCTTGTCAAGCCAGATAGGATTTTTTGCATTTCACATGCAATCTGCCACATCACCAGGCAGACGGGGACAAAGCGGGTGATGCCTGTCACACCTACTACAGAAAATTGCAGTGAACCGAATCATTGTATAACATTACAGGCCCCGGCGAGGAAAGAAAAGCAGGATCACAACATTATGCTCTAGGGGTACCATTTCCTTGCTCTCCTGGTAATTTGTATTTTTTTCTTCACTCGCATGACTGTCAGAGACTTGACATTCTAGCTCTGACTAAGAGAAATGAACTTAACATATGAATACAAAGCCAAATGTCTGTGAATAAGGAGTGGGGTTGAAAATAAGCAGGATAAGGCTGTGCTTCACAAAACATTGTTGTCTCTACTGTAGATCAAGGTAAGAACAGTCACCCAGGCTTAAAGTGTAACAGCCCATATCTAACTCATTCAAATCAAAGGTGACACATCCATGGGCAGTGACAGAAACAGGCTGTTAACAACTTGAAGCCTCCTATTTTTTATCCTAAATAGCTTCAGATTATTTGGTGAAGTTGAAAGGACAGCTGAAGTCAAAAGTCCCTCCAGAACAGACATGCTACAGTACACAAGCTGCTTCTTCCTAGACAAACAAGTAATTTTACCCTTTGCCTTAAGCCACAGGCTGTGCACAAAGTCAAACCGGAGCAATCTCTGAGTTCCAACTTCATGGACGAGTAAGAGGACAATAAAGCTATTGGAAGTCCAGCTCTGAGTTGTCTCTGCAAGGCTGGCTCTTGCAGACCAAGCTCAGACCCTTCAGCCTCCAAATATTCCTCGGAGGTGCCAGTCTGTGTTTTGGTGTCGTCTCATGATCTCAGAAACAGGTTGCAGCTCCGATGGTATCACCATCAGAGGGTCGGAGCTGGTGGAGAGCCAAGCCAGGAGGCTGCTCTGCTCCTGGAGGAGTGGGATGGGGAAGAGGAAGGATGCACAGGCTGGTCCAAAGATCGAAGCATCCAGCAACTGCTGTTGCAGAGCAGTGAGTCCCCGCTGCTCCCAGGGGTACAGAAAGCTGTCAAAATAGCGAGCCTGCTTTTCCCATGGTGCTCGATGAGTCTTAGCTTTCCATTTGGACATCTCTCCTTTTTATTCTGGCCTTTTGCTTCTGAGAGAGTACTAAAGTGTTGGAAATAAAAGGACTAATTTGCTGGGTTTCACTCTCCCGCTAAAACACCAGCAAGTCCAGGAGCAAGCCATCAGGCTGCCATTTCAAATCCGTTGCCTGCGGTAGGTCTGAAACATGACCTGACATAATGGCTATTTGCTAATTCTTTATTTGGAAAAGCCCCACAGGTTTAGATCATCTGGCTGCAAGAAGGACCTAGATATTCCGTACGCAAACCTGGATCCAACAGCCCCTCATGGGGTTTGACAGCCCTCCAGGCTTTCATCCCACAGCTTAAACTCCCCAGGGGAAACCTGTGTGCCTTCCCATGGCTTGAAGCTGCAGAGGTGGGTTTTCTGAGCCCTGGGTGATACTACAACTCCTCAGTCCCTGTTTTCAAGCTGGCAGAGAGTGAGTCTCCTCTTACAAGCTTTTTTAAGACCTGCTGTCATATAGGAAGTGTGATGCTGAAGGGCCAATGCTGAGGAGAAAAGCCCTATCACTGGAATAAATTCTTTTTTCTTCTCTTATAGAAGTAGAGACGCGATATTAGGCTGTGATTTATCAAGCCATAAGCCAAACTGTTTGTACACCTCGGGTCTAACTTGTCCCCCTGCTGCAGATCCTCTCTACATAGGGACAATCTGCTTATAGCTGGGTGATTACAGGCTCCTCTCTGTTCCTGGTGTTATCAGTGTGATGCTTAAATAAACGTTGCCTCAGGGGTGATGTATGATATCACCCAGTGTCAGCCAGGATGAGTCAGAAACAAATCTGCTAGGGAAAAAAAAAAATAAAATAAAATAGAGAAATGGCCAAACAAAACTCAAAGCCATTTCAGTCAGGAACGTAACTCACAACGCCATTCTCATGAAATGAAGTATAATTACAACTTCACAGATTCTAATGTATTTCTCTTTCTCATTATCACCTGAAGAAAAACAAAAAAAATCTGTTTACTCTCACATGTCAAGGATCATTGCCAGCAGGCAGGTGTGGGATTAGCCACCTGCACCCTGTAACTTAATTAGCTTTAATTAATGTGCGTGTAATTCCATTCACGAAATGAGGGCTAAAGAGTGATGACAGATGAGATCTGAAGCTAGAAAAATACTGTGCCACTGATGTTTTTAAAGTCCTAGTCATGGTTTTTGATTTGATAATTTAATAAATGGTTTATTTGGCATCCTGTAAATACGTATAGTTTCCAATAGAAGAACAGTAAAAATTAGACCAACCAATAAGAGAACTGTAATAAATATATATTTTATATTATTAGCAGTAATTTTCAGATACTGTATATTCATCCCTCTCCTGGATTATTTAAAATTAAGACAAAAGTCAGAAATCAGTGTGTGGGTGAGGTAGGGGGAGGAAGAGATGAAGACTGTGAGTCAGTGAGAGGATGAGAACACACACTTTTACTTCGACACTTTTAGCAAAGGCCCAGCTGAGCTGGGAAAGTAAAGGATCATCTTCAGGAAGTCAGGGAAAAAAGCAAAGGCAGAAGAATAACTTTACTCCTCCTATCAAGCAAAGCCAGTGCAATTGCTACGATAATTCTATCACTTATAAAAAGTCAACGCACCTTCTTAAGGCTGCTTCTCCTGCGCTCGTATGACGAGTTTCACTCACTTCACCTAAGTGAGCCCTTTCCAAAAGTAACGCAGGATTTCCAAAACCAAGCAGGTTGCCCAACTTCCCAGCACCGTTTCACAAACTGTCTGCTGCCGAGGTGAACCAAGCAATGCACAGGTCTATAAACAACTTACATAAACACGGGAAGCAACCTTTGCAGCTAGGAATTGTCATAGGGCATAAATCACAATTTGAGCCATCACATCAGAGTTGGAATGGCATTTCCCTGTGGCATTTCCTTGCACAGCAACACTTTGGCACAACTGGTTGTTACACGCATAGAATCATAGAATTGCCCAGGCCGGAAGGGACCTCCAAAGGCCATCTAGTCCCACCTCCCCACAGTCAGCAGGGACACCCCCAACTAGACCAGGTTGCCCAGGGCCTCGTCGAGCCTCTCCTTGAATATCTCCAGGGATGGGGCCTCAACCACCTCCCTGGGCAACCTGTTCCAGTGCTCCACCACCCTCACAGTGAAGAACCCCCTCCTAATCTCCAGTCTAAATCTGCTCCCCTCCAGCTTGAAGCCATTTCCCCTCGTCCTGTCACTACAGGCCTTTCTAAACAGGCTCTCCCCAGCCTTCCTGTAGGCTCCCTTCAGGTACATATTCCTTATGTTCTCAGACTCAGCATGTACAACCCCGTATAGACAATCCATACAAACTACAGCTTCCCCTGTCTGACGGACAGGACACAAAGCTCAGTATGTATTTACACCACTCACTGTTATTCCCACCTGGTGTATCATCAGTGGGTCTCTGTGCCATGGCAGGCTCATGAATTTCAGTTAATTACAGCAAGGAGAAGAGTTATAGCAGAAAAAAAGGTCTTGCCGAGATCTGACACAGGACAGATTCTCAAACACCATTAAATTTTATGAACGTCTCCGTAACTAGGGCTTCACAACAATCATCTTGGTTACTGCTCTTGGGAAAATCTTAGACTCCAATAACCCTTCTCCCAGTGTGGACCCAGCAACTTGGGGCACCACAGAGAAGCCTGACCTCGGTGCCTGTTGGTGTAGTTCATCACTTGTGAGTCACCGTGCTGTTTCTTCTTGCTGATAACCCTAGAATATTTGGGCCAACATTTTCCAGACTGAATGTCCAATTCAGGCTGTGCTGGAGAATCCCAGCTAAACGGAAATCACCTGGTTCTTGGGGACTGCTTTAGAGAAGGAAAAAAAAATATGCTTGGAGCCATTGAAAGCCTTTGTCTCACTAAAAAGCTGCTCCAATTTGTCCGGGTTATTGTTTTTGAAAAATCAAAGTCCAGGAACACAGAGAGGAGGCTTTGATTTTAGGTGCTAAAGTTTTCATCAGCAACCATGACTAAGCTGCTCACGGCTCCTCGCCAAGCCAAGCACGCACCTTTCCCACCGAGTCAATGGGCCCAGGGGCAAAGGTGTTAATTGGAAAAGGAGCCTTCCTCCTCCCTCCTCATCAGATCATGTCCCTCCATCCAGTCAGGGACTGGAGTGAGGAGACAGCTCTGGCAAGAGGCAGTGCAGAAAGAGGACTGCCTGGATAAAGGCAGCGGGGCAGGGAGCCAGGAGACAGATGGGAAGGGTGTAATTTACAGCAATTGTTATTAGCGCCTATGTTGGTCGGTGCAGAGGGAGGGGAGATGGGGGAAATCCCTCCCAGCACAGGTTTCAGCAGCAGTGGGTGATTTCCTGATGCTCTTCTCCTTGCCCTGGGTGAGAAAAGTGCAGTGGGGACTGCGGTGAAGGCAGTGGGTGCCACACTCGATGGAGATGTGCTTGTCTGATGGGATGCTCCTTGGATTCTCAAACTGGACACCAGAAATGACCAGTTAGCTCAGACTGTGCCTCTGCTTTCCCTGTGAAGCCATCATCTTAGAAAGGCTTAGTAAAGATATATTCACTACTATTGTGGAGCGCCTAGATAGCCTGGCATGTCATTAGCTTTGTGGAAATTAGTCACTCAGTCAATTAGTCAATCTTGGTCCTGTTTTAATACTGTGCAGTTAAAATACCATGTAGTACATACAGACACGAGGATGGAATGATGAGATAACACAAAACATGGCTAAAGAGTGTTTTTCAGTGAAGCACCTTCCATCTAGGGCATTGATTACCATTATCTGACTAATGGCTCTAGTTAAATATTGTTAAACACGTTAGAAGAAAACTTCTGTGTCCATCCTACCTCGCTCAGCACCTGGCCAGCTGAGTAGCAGGTTGGTGCCCCAGCAGAAGGATGAGCCACTAGAAGGTTCATCTCAAAGATGTTACCTGCCAGCAGCCTCTTGGGGACTTTGGTGGTAGAGCACACCCTGGCCAACCTTTCCCTCAGCCATAACCTCTGTGTCTGCTTCAACAAGAGCCTGGGTGGGTGGGTGGGTGAGCAGGCAATGTCGTAGGCATGGCAGCAGCTCTCCCCACTCCTGGTCTCAGCCACAGCAGCAGTGATGGGGGGGCTATTAGATTTCACTGAATTTCACTGAATTTTTAGAGTTGGAAGGGACCATAGAGATCATCTAGTCCAACTCCCCTGCTAAAGCAGGACCACCCAGAGCTTGTCAGAGCATGTTACTCAGGAGCATCCAGGCTGGTCTTGAAAATCTCCAAAGAAGGGGACTCCACACCCTCCCTGGGCAGCCTGTTCCAGGGCTCTGTCACCCTCACCGTGAAAAAGTTCTTCCTCATATTCAAGTGGAACCTCTTATGTTCCAACTTGTGCCCATTGCCCCTTGTCCTCTCACTGGGAACTACTGAAAAGAGTCTGGTTCCCTCCTCCCTCAGCCCGCCCTTGAGATACTTGTCAGCATTAATAAGGTCTCCCCTCAGCCTTCTCTTCTCCAGACTGAAGAGTCCCAGCTCTTTCAGCCTCTCCTCATAAGGGAGATGCTCCAGTCCTTGAATCATCTCTGTTGCCCTACGCTGGACTCTCTCCAGCAGTTCCCTGTCCCTCTTGAACTGGGGAGCCCAGCACTGGATGCAGGATTCCAGTTGTGGCCTCCCCAGTGCAGAGCAGAGGGGCAGAATGATCTCCCTTGACCTGCTGGCCACACTCTTCCCTCTGCAGCCCAGGATTCCGTTGGCCCTCCTGGCCACAAGAGCACACTGTTTGCTCATTGTCATTTTGTTGTCCACCAGGACCCCCAGATCCTTTTCTTCAGAGCTTGTCTCCAGCAGGTCCATCCCCATTGTCCTAAGATGAAAGGTTCCCCGCTCTCCCCAGCAACATCGAGCCCCCAGAAAAGAAGATACTGCAGGGACTCACCACAACGCAGGTGACGGTCCATGATGGGAAGGATGCTGCTGAAGTTCCAGAACCCTTCCTCCCAGCTGATGGCATTGCCCATGGCGCAGTCCAACAGCTCTTCCCGACCCAGCACGCGGTCCCACATTTGGAAGTAGTACAAGCTGCCGATGAAGCTGTTGCTCACCCGCACAATAAAGCCATCCTTCCTCTTGTGCAGGTGACCCAGCACCAGGCTCCCGTTGGGTTTCAGGCACTCGGTGCTGCCAATGGTCTCAGAATGCACGAGCTCACCATTGCAGTAGACCTCCAGCAGTTGTTTGGTGGCATCCCATGAGCAGCACAGGCTGTACCACACAAAAAGGGACAGGTCGAGCTTAATGTCTCGTCTGGTGCCGAAAAGATACAGTCTCAACTGCTTGTTTTCTCCCGAGAGTCCGAGCTCCATGTCATTTATGTCGGTGGAGGTATCATTAGTGTCGTAGGAAAACGCTGCCCAGGAGCTGACGTTGGCCGTGCGGTTGAGGTCAACGCAGACCGTGAACTGACATAGCTGAGGGACGCTGTAGTTGATCAGGGACACATACTTGTCGTTCCTTCCCAGTAAATCCAGTCTTTCTCCATGCAGAGAACGGGTTTCTGTAAGAGAAAAGCATAAAGAGGGGAAATAAAGTGTCACTTGCAAAGAAAAAGCTGCAACGTGACCTCATTCGGGTATTTCCCTGAATGCTGATGTTAAAAAATTAAAAGTTTCTTTTATTTCTAGTAAAGTGTCACCTGCAAGGAAAAAGCTGCAATATGACCTTATTCGGGTATTTCCCTGAATGCTGATGTTAAAAAATTAAAAGTTTCTTTTATTTCTAGTTTTTGCTGCCTTTGAGACTTAATTCTGAGACCACCCACGTTACCAGTAAAGAGAAGATGAGTTTAATTCTGCAAAGAAAGTCCTCAAGCCATACCAAACAGGAGTCAACACGGAATTTAGGCCTAGGGCACACATGATCCAGTCTCAGTTCAGGTGTCCAGTGCAAAGGTCTTGGTTCATCACACACTGGGAAATGAGTTGCTTGCAGGTTTACTCCCGGGTGACATATCAAAGTCAAAGTTTCTGCTAAAAATAATAATCATGAGGATTATCCTTTTCTCAGGCTCCAGAGAGCTTGGCCATCTTTTTTCTGGTTTTGGTTGTGGTTTTTTTTCATTCCTTTAAATTATCTCATCATATCTTTACAGCCTACTCAAAAGGCTTTGCTGACAGAGGCAACCTCCCTGTGTTGTTTTTTTTTGATTCCTTTAAATTATCTCATCTTATCTTTACAGCCTACTCGAAAGGCTTTGCTGACAGAGGCAACCTCCCTGAGTCATACTAACGGGAGGGCTGCACGGGCAGTGAGTCACTTGCTCTGACTGCAGACCAACAGAGTGGCACCTGCAATGGCTATAGCTGCCACCATGGGTCCCTGGAGTGGTCTGGCAGGGGCATCATCAAGCTAAGGAGGGTCTTTCACTCTGCTTATTCGGGTTTTTCACTCCATATTAGGTGTCGTCTTGTACAGGAGGCAGCCCGGTGTAATGCTATCTCCATTCTGGCTCCTGGATTTGCTGTGGTGTTCGACTCAGTGGGTCCCACTGCCATCACCCCCAGCCATGACAAAAAGTCCCTTCCCCAGGCATGAATCTCTGTGGACCTGCCCCACGGAGCAGCACTGGTCCACAGGCAACAAGGTTAGATGGCAGCATAGGGTCACCAAAGGCAGGAGCCAGCCTTTCCACCAACACAGTGTTTCTGTAGGGGGTGAGGTGGCCCTACGTGCACCATCAGAGTGGTAAAATTTAATCAGACTAGATTAGATCTTAGGAAGAAATTCTTTGCTGTAGGGTGGCCAGACCCTGGAACAGGTTGCCCAGAGAAGCTGTGGCTGCCCCATCCCTGGAGGGGTTCAAGGCCAGGCTGGATGGGGCTTGGAGCAACCTGGTCTGGTGGGAGGTGTCCCTGCCCAGGGCAGGGGGGTTGGAATGTGATGATCTTTAAGGTCCCTTCCAACTCTAACCATTCCATGATTCTATGATTCTAATTGCAACCCAGGCCCCTCCTGTGCAGGTGATCTGCATCTTTAACTTGCCATTACACTCACATGTTTACATGTGCTTCAATAATTCAGGATGTATCTCTTCTAGATAAGAACTGCCATTACGCTGAGTCTTTTATAACCACATCTCGGGGCTGTTTTTACAGCACTTTCCAAAACCTGGTTGCCAGCCATGCAAATCAGGTATTATAAATCCATCAACTCTAACCTAACCCTCAAACTTCCAGTGACTATTTGCACTTCTAATAAAGGTTGTGCACATCAGTGACTGGAAAAGTAGCTGGCACTTCTTCCCTTCTGCTTCACAGGCTTCAAACTGGAGGCGAGTCGGTAACAATTCATCTGTGGAGTGATCAGAAGTGGTGCATTGCTGTCCCAGTGTAACCTTGTGCACTTGAAGCATAAAGAGAGTATTTCTCTTACACATAACAGCACTCTGCTGTCTTTCATGTCTGTCTCAGCTCTCAAATCTGCTCCACCGAGCACCTCAGTGTGTTGTGGACCACGCACCCACAACCTGGTCACGCTTCCACCTCTGCCACTCATCTATGATGGTGGTTTGCACCCAAGAGAGTTATTTTCCCCTTGAGTGGGAGTATGTAGGACTCAGAACAGCCATGTATGACACCCAGTTGGTGGAGGCCTCTGGCTGGGTCAAGAGCTCAACACCTCTCCACCAGCACTCCAGCCTCTGCCTTAGTGGGAGCGAGCACATAGAATCACATTGTGTGACTGTGCTCCACCACCAACCTGACCTTCATCTCTTTATCTAACCTAATCTTTATCAAGGGATGACCACCCATGGTGGTCACGATGGATGCATCTAGTCGTGATGGCTCCATCCGGCTCAACATGGTTTTGGGGAGACAGGAGACAGATATCAACACAACAGCCAAGGTTAACTTGAGCAATGCACCCACCTCACCACAATGCCCATACTGTGATTGATATGCAAAGTCAATCATCTCACCCCCATAAATAGTGACCAGCCCAAGAGCCCTTTGAGCTCTCCTGCACGGCAGTGGCTGCACACCAGGATCTCCCCTCAAGTTGGGATGCCCCTCTCTAACTAGGACCCTCTGGCCAAAGCTGAGTAAATTTGGCAAGACCTGAGGCATTAATTCAATCTTTTTATTATGGAGTTTTTACTTGGAAAGAGCTCATTTTTCCCTTGAAAAATGAGGGACATGACCCCAGTGCAACTGGGAGCATTTTAGAAGCATGCATTAACTTTGTGCCCTGCATTGTTCTTGAGGAGAACTTAAAGAAAGAAATACAAAAACCAATGTAGAACTGATTACTGTTTTGCTGGGATTTATGGTGGAGCGAAAGGGTGCTGAGTGTGTTCATGAAGCACAGCTTGCTGTGTTTGCCTCAGTTAGCATCAGGGAATTTAGTTCTGCCAGTAGCTTCGTGCTTTTCTCACACCACCACGAAGCAAGTAAATGCACAGCGTTTGTTTCACAGTGACCCAAGTAAAACTAGAATAAACCATACAGAAACTCAGGAAGACACCCTGGAAGGAAAGAAGTGAATAATGGCAAAACCAAGAGGCTTTTCACCTCCGAACGTGGCCAACAGTTGTGATGCAACCAAAACCTGACATTTCACTCGCTCCTTGCCATATTTTCTCGTTCGTACTGACTCATCTGTGGCCCAGACTGAACCAGCATCCCAGGAGAGGGTGTCCACCGTGCCCAGACATGTAGGTCTGCAGGCCAACGTATGCTCAGGGATGTCTGACAGACAAGGACCACAGCACCAGTTGCAGTGAGGAGAGGTCCAGACCAAGAGTAACCACTACACTGGGGCAGAACAAGAGGAAAGTGGGCTCCCATATAGATATACTGTGTGTGCATGAACCAGGAACCCAGCAGACACCCCCTGGGCTGGGGGATGTCCAGAGCCCACTGGCAGCACCATCCCTATGGTTGATCCTGAGAGGAATCACTGTACCTGCCAGGAGGAGAAGAGGAGCAGCAACCATCAAGATGCAAAGAGCCTCGTGAGAAGAGTGATGTCCAGGGCCACGCGTCAACCTCTTCATTCTTCAGGCATGTTCTGAAAGAAAGTTGTCGATGATCATCTGAGAAATTCAGGCTGTTTTCTGCGGTTTGCTGAAATGGCATTCACAGCACAGGGGCCCCCAAGTCCACACTCCCTGTGACCGAGCTGAGTCACTAGATCAGTGGTCACTGTAAAGGTCACAGTTACACAAACCCGCAGGTTTCTGCTGGTTTCTGAAAGAGATGAGGTTTATGCAATTACACTGTGTGTGTTTGGTCCCTCTGTCACGAGTTGCAAACCTGTGAGCAACTTGGAATGTGCTTTGACAGAAGGAGCCCACGTCTGAAGTGGTGAAGGTCCTACAAGTGTGAGGAAGAGAAAGTCCTACCAGTGAGTTAAACTGGATGTGCTGACCCACAGTGGCACCCCACAGACGCTCCAAGAAGAAGAGAAAGCCCTACTGGTGAGTTAAACTGGATGTGCTGACCCACAGTGGCACCCCACAGACGCTCCTGGGATGGGAGACCAGAGAGTGGGAGACCGGACAAGAGGCACATGGAGAAGCAGGACACAAGGCTGCTCACAGACAGCACAAAGTATTTGTTCTCACCACTGGGCTTTCACAGAATCACAGAATGCTATGGGGTTGGAAGGGACCTCTGGAGATCATCTAGTCCACCCAGCACAGGTTGCACAGGAACTTGTCCAGACGTGTTTGGAATGTCTCCAGAGCACCTCCCTGGGCAGCCTCTTCCAGGGCTCTGCCACCCTCACAGCAAAGAAGTTCCTCCTCATGTTGAGGTGGAACTTCTTATGTTCCAGTTTGTGCCCGTTTCCTCTTGTCCTGTCCCTGGGCACCACTGAAAAAAGATCAGCCCCATCCTCCTGACACCCACCCTTTAAGTATTTATAAGCATTGATTAGATCCCCCCTCAGCCTTCTCTTCTCCAGACTAAACAGACCCAAGTCCTTTGTCTACAAACAAACTTTCATCCATTTAATTGAGCCCTGGGAACACACTTATAATTGGGGAAAGACTAGTTCCAGCATACATCAAACACTTAAAGAAAAATCCACTCTAAATTAGAAGGACTTTGTCCTATTCCGTACTTCAGTTTGATTAAATTTCCTTCTAAGATGACTGTAGTCATACCAGACCACTGGAGAGGGCAGCCAGCCTCCATGGCCCAGAGCCCCAGCCTCCCTCCTACTGCCCTGCATGCTCCTCGGCCACGCTCTGCTTTCTCTGCTTGCTTCACGTGGCATCAGAGCCAATTCTTGGCTTAGGACCACACTGGATTAAATCTGATAAAACTAATAATGTTGCATATAAACTGTAAGGGATGGGCAGATCCTCCAGGAGATTGTCTAGGGTGGCCAAGCTCCATTCAGCGGATTCGCCTGGCTTCTCATCAGACGCAGCCCTTCCCCGGGACTCCCCACTAAGGGCTACTACACTCTGTCCCTTTTGTGTCCAGACGTGTAAAATAAACATTAGAAAATTAGATAAAAGCTGAGCTAATAACGACTCGCTCAATTTCCTTTTAAAACTGCACTTCACAAAACTTACAAAGTTAGGAAATTTCATCCCGTTTTCCATTTACTGCTGTTACAACAAGTCGCTCCTCCCAACCTTTTTCTTTGTTACTCCAGCAATTTGTGGGTTTTGGAGTAACATTTAAGGAACAAATCATTATACTCCCAGCCTGCGGTACCTAAACATATTTCAGGTGAACTTTTGGAGTAACATTTAAGGAACAAATTGTTATACTCCCAGCCTGCGGTACCTAAACAGGACTTTCTACATACTTCAGGTGATGCATGCTTTCTCCTAAAAACACCAAAGCCATTAAAAGGTGCTGCTCAAAAACTCACCTCCCTGCGTAGCACAGAAATCCAGGTGGATTTTTGCCACTCCACGCTGCTTCTTCTGTCTGATGCCAAAACACTGGTGAAGTGAAATATGAAGAGAAAATCAGGTGGGATGTGGTGATATTTTCAGTGGGTCAGATAAAGCAAGTGATTTCTGTTGGTGGATTTTTGCCACTCCACGCTGCTTCTTCTGTCTGATGCCAAAACACTGGTGAAGTGAAATATGAAGAGAAAATCAGGTGGGATGTGGTGATATTTTCAGTGGGTCAGATAAAGCAAGTGATTTCTGTTCTGAAACCACATTTCTTAGGCACTGGAAAACCTGCTGTGACAACAAATCTCTGTTCCCAGCCTTCTCCTTTATAACTCCAGCAATGATCTGTTGACTTTTTGCAATAACATTTAAGAAACAAATCATTATGCTCCCAGCCCATGGCACGTCACAGGGTTGTATTAAGTTTTGTCCAGAGCAAAGTCCAGAACCCGGAGCATCATAAAACACAAATTAGAAAGAAACAACTGAACTGAAGTGTTCCCCTTGCTTCTGATTCAAAAGTGACTGCAGTAAAGAACGTAAGTTGTAATTTTCCTACAGCAGGTGTCTAGCCTGCCTTTGTAGTATATGGCACTATTACATAAAGATCAATCAGCATCTTTTTTCCCTCCTGCCAAATATTAATCAGTCTCTGCTAAGTTAAAAAAAATATTAAATATTGCTGGCTACTGAGAAAGATTTTGTGAGTTGGGACCAAGGAAGGAGTGGCACCGGGAAAGGACGGTCCGTTGTGACTGACGCTTTGGCCAGATAGAGGTTAAGTCTTGAATTTTGTGAGTTAGCTCTGGAGGGAGGAGAAGGTTTGCAAAGGGCACTGGAGGGCTTGCTGCCATCCCCTGTGTCAGCTTCACTGTTTTGGCAGTGGGTCCCAGCAGCTGAGCTCTTCCTAACTCTTTGGTGGTTTTAATTCTTCAACACGAGGAGTTTATCAGCTTTAGTAAAGATCATTGCAAAGGGTCTGGATCACCATGTGGGGTCATCTCCTCTTTAACGCTACGTCACAGGCAGGGCCTGATCTAATGCCCATCATCCTGCATCCATTTCTGGGCAAAACTTTCCTGGGAGGTTTTAGAAGAGACACTTAGGACTCGGAGCAGAGAAAAACCTGTGATTATGGAGTACAATGAAATGGAGAGAAGCAGAAGATGAAGACGGAACACATTCAGACTCACTGGGGCCGTTCAGATAAAAAGGAATTTTGCTTTACTTTGGATGTGCGAAGATTTTTGCCAGGAGGTTGCTATGGTGACTTTTCAGCTCTCCCAAACCTCCCCGTACTGTAATTACCTCTCAAAGCCTGTGAGCTGGGAATCTTTGATTCTTTGGAGGAAGAATGTGGGTGGCTGACTCTTCAGGATGTTTTTCAACTAGCCATTTTTATTCTAAACCAAAACAGGACGATTCATATGCTCGTGCCTTTTAACAGCTGCTTACAGTTTCTATGAAACCTTCTGGCCTTGCTGGCTGCGAAATCCACTCCTCCTGAGACCTTCTTGAATTAATTTTTAACTAAAAAGGCTCCCTTTTCAGCACACCTCACTCCTGCATTATGCATCAGGGCAGGTTATTTAGAGGAGTTTATTTAGCTCTGGATTGGACTGAGCTTTCCCTGTACCACTGGATGTTAAAATTGGGCCCCTAAGCTAAAACGTGCATAATGAGGGGAGTATTTTTGCATTTCTTTAGCTTTCGTTATTTACTTCAGTTGTCACCAACTGAGCACTGAAAGCACAGAGGATGTGCAAATATCCTCCACATTTTCTAGTCAACGCACCTCCCCAGTTCTGCACAGTTCCCCTGAGAAAATGCACTGTTAAAGAGCTAAGGCCCAAAATGCATGTCCTATGAGTCAGAAACCATCAGACCACTGTTGTTCAAAATAAACAGTGTAAAATATTTAACAACAAAAGGACCCAGTGTTAAGTTTCAACAAGCAATTGTTATACTTTTGCTTCAACACAGAATCATTGGGGCTCCTTGCACAGAGACCTGGTGGCTGTCAGAGCAGAAGTAGGGCTGGAATCACCCTCTGGATGCAGGGCTGGACCATAAACCATAAATCCTGCACATTTTAGTGTAAAAGATTAGATTAGTTCACTAAATAAGGGCAGGAAAAGATTAGCAGGGTGTTAATCTTCTCTTTCAAAAACCTTGAAGGATGTAAATAGTACAGAGACTGTTGTGAGACAGCTGACAGCTAGCCCATACAAACTTCTAGCTTACAAGTTGGTTTGAATATAAAAACTGACTTTTTTTCATTCCTTTTTCATTTCAAAGCTGGGAGAAAATCTTTTTGACAATGATTAATTGAATCCTGCAGTAGGTATTTTGGAAACCTGGGTAAGATCCTTACAAAGTTGAAGGCATTCAAGAAATACAACTTAAAGAATACAACCACACCTTCAGATTTACTCGGGACCTTTGCTACAGGTGGATTCTGGAATGACATGAGTTTCGTTCTGTCAAAATATCCCAAGCAGGTATTTATAGAAGAAATAAATACCATATTTTCAACATTCATTTTTTTTACTTTAAAAGATTTATATTTTTAAAATTAAAATTGGAACAAGGATTTGGATTTTTTTCAGTTTGTCTTCTTGAAACATGTCTTCCTTCTTCTTCCTTGGCTATGTTTCAACACGAGAGGTAGTGGAAATTCTAAGCAGCCCTTAATTTTTCCCTCCGTGACCACAAAAGATGTATCTGTAAAAAGTGCATCTGGCCATCTGTTTTATGGCTGTAAGGACCAGATTGTTGGTCTTCCTCCACCTCTGAAGTCCTCACAAGCACCGAGCCCAGGGCTGTTCCTCTCCCACCAGCCAAGCGCCTTTCCAAACATCAGGGGGTGGCCACAGCACCCTGCGCCTCACGTGAGGTTCCTGAGTGGCTCTGCCCTGGCCTTTCACCTGTCAAAAATCACAGAATCATTGAATATTTAGAGTTGGAAGGGACCTTAAAGATCATTTAGTTCCACCCCCCTGCCTTGGGCAGGGACACGTCCCACCAGACCAGGTTGCTCCAAGCCCCATCCAGCCTGGCCTTGAACCCCTCCAGGGATGGGGCAGCCACAACATCACATTGCCCCCAAGGCTCAGCCCTCACCAACATTTCTGACAGCAAATTAAGTGG